AAAGCAAATTCTGCACTCTCGGAGGCTCTGCCGCCACTTCTCTGCTTGCACCCGAGGTGCAACCGAGAGGAGAACTTGGCCTGCTTGAGCAAGGCAGCAGGAGGCTCCCGCAGCCTCCCGCCGCGGCTAAGACGCGCGCCTTCGTGCGCAAAGACGAGGAAAAACTCGCACGTGCCGTGAATTTACGGCACCGCAATCAGAGGAGCGACAAACCCAGAAGCGACAAACTAATAAATATCGCAGCGCGCACGGCGCTGACTGCAATCACAACGTGGCCGGCACGTGTCTACGGGGGGTTCCCATCTGCCGTCTTCCGACGTTTCCATAGGAGGCGGGTGCCTGTTTCCCACGTTCCTCTTTTTGGAAAGTCCCAGATTGTTCCCATCCCCTAGCCTTGCAACGCTCGGCTTCAGAGCCCGCCGGCTGGCACGCCAGCCAGCCCACGGACGTCGCCGAAAGGCAGAGCCTTACGGGCTGCACGTCCCACGCGCGCCTCCCCTATCCCGAGAGCGATCCACCAAGCGCCGTTCCCAAGCGGCGCACCTGAACGCGCTTAGGGTCACAGGCAACGATGTCCCGGCAGATGTCAACGGGCTGCTTTTTGACATACGTGGTTTTTGCACCCAGATCGGGTAGTTTTACTGGGTGAAAAGAGCTGTGAAGGATGCTTTTACAGTGGTCTCAGGCAGTTCCAGAAATTGGGGCCAACTGGCAGGTACAAACCTTTTCTTTCCTTGTTTGAGGGAGAAGTTCCTGCTCCATCTTTGCTTCCACTGTTGGAAGCTGTTTCCCAGCCCAAAGAAAAAAAGGAGGATGAGGAGGAGGAGATGTTTCATTGCATCCCTTTGCCTCGAGACAACTCCATAAGCACTCTTGCTCTCCTCAGGGTCCTTAATTCCAGCACTACTCCATCTTTTACCTGCACGTGTGACGAAAAAGGAGAAGCGCTACCCTCCCCGGCCCTTCCCACCAAGAAAGCCACGTGCAAACCGTCCCCGGGGGGCTGAAGGCAAGCCCACCGGGCCAAGAGCCTGCGAGTGCAACACCATGCACCAGCAACCAGCGGGGGGGACGACGACCCCAAACCTGCAAGAAAGCAGAAGTCACGAGGGACCACCCAACACCCTCTCGAAAGAAACCGAAGTGGCGTCGAACCCACGAGAGCAGCCTGGCCCGGAAAGGCACGCGCGATTCGCCACCCCCTTCCAGATGCAACCGCCTTGCTTCAGCCTCCTCCGAGGGAGGAGAGCCCAACGAAAGCACCGGCAGCAGAAGTCCCCAGTGGCCGGGCGAAGAACAGGACGGTGGGGAGGGCGCCCAGAAGAGACGGTCAAGGAAGAAGCACAGAGCCAACGTCTAAAGCCTTCCGACCGCTCGCGGGGAAGAGCCTCTCGGCTGCCCTTACGGCAACATAGCTGCGAGTTATCCCTTGCCGTTAAACATCTGCTTTTCGTCACCCGGCTCTGTGCAGATGCAGCAGGTGAGACCTTATTTAAGGCTCGTTTTGCTGCCGGTACGTCGCACCAGGGAGCAAACGCGGATTTGGGAGAGGAGAAGCAAGAGAGGGGGTAGCTCCGTGCTGGATGCACGGGGCCGAACCCCAAAGAGCAAGGAGCGGCGAGCCAGAAAAAGGAGGATGGCAACAGGCACTGACTTCTTCTTGCTTCTCTAGGCAACTCTTCCCCCGTCCCCTCGTCGCGCGTTTTAATCTGATGGGCCTGAGCCGGATTATCTGCAGCATCTGCTCCCCAGCGAGGTATCTGCAGATGTTTGCAGCCGGGCGCTTTCCGCTCACGCGCGAAGCCCAACGACCCCAAACGACCACAGCGTCGCGACAGAGAGCTCAAGCGCTTAAAAAACCCACCACCCTCGCCGGGAGAGCCT